CGTTTATGATGTTATTGACTGTGTTTTATGCCTTATTGTGGCTTTGTAACTCTGCAAGGAGTAGTAAATACTTCCAGTCTTTATCTCATCCCCCCTCCAAAACAAGGGAAAAACAACCTTTAAAGTGTGGAGTACAAAAAAGTGATTTATGAGTAAAAAATTGGCTGCTCTTCACAAGTCAACAAGGTTAAATTGTAGTCTCTCTGAAGTTGGGCATGGATTATGAGTTCATTTATATTTTTGAATGCCATTGAGGCAACAACAATGAAGTGGATGTAGTAATGTGTGTTAGGTTAAATGGCAGAAAGAGAGAAGAGTCTGAAAGACCCAGCTTATGTGTGTCTTTGCCAAAGCTTTTGAATCCAAATATGGTCATTTGTTCTTTATGCAGTTTCTATTGTGATTGTGTTAGAGTTTGGCTTTTTAAGCCCCTCCAATTAAAGCCGCCTTATTTTACTAGTTTCCAGTGTTGTATTATTATTATTATTATTCAAATGACAAGTTTAGGTAATGAATCTGCGGAATGGATTCAGGGTATGACATCTAGCTACTCCATAACAGCAATGGATCTTGATCAGATCATTAGCTCAGGCATGCTTCCTTCAATCTCCCCTTCATTAATAACGATATGATTTTCCTGTGCGGTCCTACATCTCTCATTCTAATGTTGGGAGACTTAGGAAATCAGTTGTTGATCTGATTGATTTCCATATGCTTGCTGCAGGATATTCGCAATGGGTTGACCGGTTTCCCCATATTAGAGAAGCCGTGGAGAGTTGATCGTTTATTTTCCCTTGGTTCAGTGAGTACGCTTGGTTCCTTTTGTGTGGTATCTATCTTTAAGCTGAAGGAAATTCTGTATGCTTGCAAATATCATCTTGAAAGTAGTAATACAAGCAAAAGCTCCATCTCATGTTATAGAATGTTCATGTCACTACAAATATGTAGACAAGACAGGTTTCTGAGATAGATGTTGGTTGGGGACTTGATCAGATTAGAGCAAAATACAAAGTTCAGGTACACCGAATGCACTGGTGAAGAAACTAAAGCTTTCAGGAGCGATCTAAGAAGCTGATTGGCCAAATGTGCTAAAAGTCGTAATTTATATTAACCATCTTAGCCTTTTTATCTGAATGTGAAATAGATTTGTTATGATATATATTGCTTGATTTTGGCATTGGTTGAGTGAATTAGGGGTGTTTACAAAGAGCTTGTCTTTTGGACATTGTTTTATGCTGAGACTAGATGTTTAGTGAAAATGGAGAGTAGTTTAGATTTGTATAAAATAATGATAAGAGAAGCTTTTTGGCAGCTAGAATTAGTTGAGAAATGTTTGTCCATGATTGAGTCGTTACTCCTTATCTGTTCAATGATTTGCCCATTTTGTCATTATTATGTTCAAATGTATGACAAATTCTATTGTGGGTAGAGATTATTACAGTTGGAATTGAATGAAAAACCGTAACTAAAATCGTATAAGTAAATCGGAACTCGTAAGTGTGTTTAAAAAATAAAGGAATTGGAACTGTTTGTTCCAAGTGTGTTTTAAAAATAAAGGAATTGGAACTGTTTGTTCCAGTTTCAAAATTTTTTTTTTTCCCTTAAGTAGAAGAATAGGACTAAGTGTTTATTATTATTAGGAAAAATGTACAAATAGGCCATTGAATTATTTGGGGATAGTAATTAAGTCATGGAACTTGAATTCTTCAAGTTCATCCATGAACATTTGGGTTGACATATGTATATTTTATTTTATATTTTATTATTTTTATTATCCTACTAAGCATTTGACCCTCTTCCTAATGCCATGATTTCTTGATTTTATTTCTTGACGTGTCAAGTATTGTATTTAAAAATAATTTTTTAATTTTTTAATTCATTTTAATAATTTTAAATAAAATAATTATTTTCAAAAAAAATAAAATAATTATTTTAAAATTTACAAAAAATAAATAAAAATAAAAAACAGCCTTGGCAGAGACGAAGGGAACCCCTTCGTCTCCGTGGCCGGCCCTTTATCTCCGTGGCTAGTCGGAGACGAAGCGGTGGGGATCGCCTCGTCTCTGACCAACCATGGAAGGTTTTTATTTTTATTTTTATTTTTTTTAATTTCAAAATAATTATTTTATTTAAAATTATTAAAATAAAATTTTAAAAAATAATTTTTTAAACAAAAAAATATTGTATTATTTTTAAATATAGTAACCAACACGTTTGGAAATAAAATCAAGAAAACATGACATCCAGGAATAGGGTCAAATGGTTAGTAAAATAATAAAAATAATAAAATATAAAATATACACATGACAACTCAAACCTGTTGTTAACCTGCTAAAAATGCTAATTGCATTTTTTTCCAGATTAATAGATGAATTTGAAGCTTATTTGAGTTCGGCGACTTAATTGCTATCTCCCAAATTGTTCAATGGCATATTTGTACCTTTTCCCTTATTATTATTAATTTAAAATTTTAAATGTTTGATTTTTTATTATTCCAGAATTAAAAATCTCTTAAAATTTGAACTTGGATAATTTTGAAAATATAAATTGAAAACTTAAAAGAAATTTTTTTTTGAAAGCAATTAAAAGAACTATTTAAAAATTAAAAATAAATATAGGAATATGAATTAAATAGGCTATTCAACTATTTGTCAATTTGAAGAGTCGAATAAACCAAAGTGACATGTTCTCCATGTTTTTGCTAATATGGCAGTTAAATCAATTTAAAAATAAAATTTAAATTTATTTTTAATAAATTAAAACTTACTCCTCATTGCTTTCGTCTAATCGTCTCCGGACAAAGAAATGGTCTTCTATGGGGAGAGTGGACTAGTATGAGTGGAGCATAATAGACAAGATTTGGTTATTGATAAGCTTCAAAAAAATTTACATTGCGATTTTTAGCTAAGTAGATAACTACCTAGATAACTTGGTTCGAGTATATTATTGAAAAAAATATCATCTTTAATCTTACGGTAAATGTACCATTATTTAAGTTAGTTCCATGAATGATATGATCCAGTATCAAAATAATACTACTTTGAACTAGGGCTAAATGTGGAGGAAAAAATGAGGGAGGGAGAATCAAGGATGAAGAGGAGAATGTCATATTATCAAGAGTGAAAGGGAATAGGGAGATTATAGACGTAATAGAGAGAGAATATGAGAAAAAATATTTCTTGAGCTCAGCAATAGCATCAACATTGCTTCCTTTGATGCAATCCACAAATCTTCTATGTACAATATATGTAGGTGGTTTTATTTATTTATTTTTTTTATGATGAAAGAAATTCGCAATTTTATTTAAGGAAGTAGATGAGATAAACGCCGCTCTTATGTAATATCTCACAAATTACAAAAAAAAAAAAAAAAAATAGTAATAGTAAAACTATAATAGGTGCATATGGCGTTTGGTTGAAAGGAAGGAATTAAGGGTAAATGAATTGTAATTCGGTGGAATAAAGTACGAATTCAAATTACGTTGTTCGGTAGAGAGAAATATTAGAATTGAGAAGGAAAGAAGTGTTATAAAGACTAAAATACCCTTGTGTAATAATAATAATAATAATAATAATAATAATAATAATAATAATAATAATAGTAATAATAAACAAGGGTAGTAGTGTTATTTCATCTATTTTTCCTTTCTCATATCCATTGAATTGCAATTCATTCCAGCCAAACAATATAATTGAAGTATCCATTGAATTTCAATTCAATTACAGCTAAATTACAGTGAACTGAACACCCTGTAAGACCTTCTGTCACAAATTCAACGGAGAAGATATTGAAAGAAACTCGTGATCTTAAAAAATATACTATAAGTGAAGCTCTAAATTGAGTTTAACATAAAAGGGAGAAACAAATTTTCCAAAAAACAAATACACCAACTACTCAATCTTCTTGGGCTGTTAGGTGTACCTCTCTCTTCAGTTTTCACTCAAATTCATAGATGCCATCAACAAACTTTCAGATATCCTTATTCTTAACATCACATTTCTGGTTTATAAGGTCACATCATCCACAAACAATCTCAATCTCATCACTTCATCCTTACAATTAGGCATCTTAATAATTAAACTTATTTATGACTAATAAATGAATACTTGTCAACATCCTAATTAATATCATCTCATTAATTATAACTCAGTATTATATATATAGAAGTATTATAATGTCCTAGCCTCCTAGGTGGTTTTAATGCATCTTCAATTGAGGATTTTTTTTTTCCAAATAAATCTTTTAAGTCACTTGACAATTTAAAAAGAAAAATTGCAAGTGTGAGCACACTTGCCAAAGAAAAAAAAGAAGTTGAAAGTTATGCATATAAGCACTGACCGTTACATCTGCTGCGTGCAAGCAGGCATAGAACATTTTTATCTTGTGGATCCAGTCGTCCAGACAAAATTGTTTACATTCAAAATTTAAGAGAATGAAGGAATAAAATTCAAATTGGCCACTGAACCTAACCTAAAAATGTAATTAGGTCACTGAACAAAAAAAAAGTGCAATTAAACCATTGAACACTCCAAAAACGTACAATTAAGTCACTGAACACTCTAAATGAATGCAATTTCATTGGATAGCATGTTACGATCAATTTTAGCAGGCTACCTGTTTATGTGACAGATGAGTTGACATTTTTTTAATAATTTTTAATAAATTTTTAAAAAAAAAAAAAAATAAAATAAAACGACGGCGGAGACGAAGGAAGAGGGGGTGGGGGAATTTTAATTATTATTAGAATTTATTAAAAATTATTAAAAATACTAACTTAGCTGCCAGGTAACCTGCTATCGGTTAAAATTGCATACATTTAGAGTGTTCAGTAGTTTAATTGCTTTTTTTGAATGAATAAAAATTGTGAGTAGAATTTAAAAGTATCTCCCAGTAATACGTAGTTAGCTAAAGGAGTAAAGGTAAGGTAATGAGCAAAAAAGGTTGCATTTGTACAATATAGAAATAAATAGTGTTAAATATATATAAGCAACTAAATTATACATTGTGGGAAGCTGAAGAAGAAGAAGAAGAAGAAGAAGTCGATCATCTTCTTCTTCAACCGCCCCCATCCAATATTCAAATAGCAAGTCAACCTATACATACAAATACAGAGCAGCGAGAGAGAGAGAGAGAGGGGAAATGGGGTTGGGAAATTTGTTCTTCACGGCGGTGGTGACCTTCTCAGCAGCATTGGTGACCTACAACATTCTAATGTCAGCCAATACATCTCTGAAGCTAGAACTTCCGGGCTCTCCTGACACTTCTTCTTCTTCCTCTACCGCGAGAATTTTCCCAAATTCTGACCACTCAATCATCAAACTGCCATTGGAGAAGAAGCCTTCAGGCAAGAAGCTGTTCCACACGGCCGTCACCGCCTCCGACTCGGTCTACAACGCCTGGCAGTGCAGAATCATGTATTACTGGTTCAACAAGTTGAAGGACGGCCCCAATTCTGGAATGGGTGGCTTCACTAGGATCTTGCACTCCGGCACCCCCGATAGGTTCATGGACGAGATCCCTACTTTCGTTGCCCAGCCTCTCCCCTCAGGAATGGATCAGGTTTTCATTCCTTTTTTCTTTCTTTTATGTGAATTTGCTTCAGTTTCCCAATACCAGCCAGTTTTGTGATTACCAGGAGTTTGAATAGTTTAGAAATGTGATTAGCCTAGCCATTTTTGTGATTAGCAGGAGTTTTTATAGTTTAGAAATGTGATTAGCCTTTATTGACCAACAATTCCCCACCCAGCACCTACCAGTCTTAGCTGCATTTTGATACCATTTGTTAGATCAAGCGCTTACCACTATGCAAAAAGCAAGTTACGGCATGTTTGGTTCACGGAATGAATTTTAAGGGAATAGAAGTATTCCATAAGGAATGGAATAGACCGGGAATAGAATAGGAATTGTATTATATTGTTTGGTTCGCTGAAGGAATAGAGTGTAGGAATGTTATTACAGTGTTATAGTTAGTAGCGAAGTCTCAACTTTATTTTCTTATAGAACGCCATCATATTTTCGAGAGGCAGGGTGTTGACGCCTGACGGCCTCCGCCCAACAAAATGTGGCTAAGCTAGCTTTGAATTTAGGTAACTGTTTCCTGATTTTTTAAGTATCAAATGCTATTGGAATGCAAAGTGGTTCTTAGGAATTAAAAATGCGGTATTTGATGTGGAAAACCAGGTAAACCTATTGATAACTATCCATCATAAATGGTAGGTTCTGATGTAATGTTAAAGGATAGATGACTGTATATTAAAAAACAAGCTCTTTGTGGACAAAGATTATCCAGGGGCAGGCATAATGAGGGATGAAACGAAATCATAAGATGCCAATGGTGAATAAAAAAGGTTTAATAGCGTGTGTGGATTAAAGTTGCACAAAAATACAAAGTAGATCACAAGTTGCAATGCCCTGTGGTTTCAATTCCTTTTGTGGAAGTATCATTGTGTCCAGGCTCCTCTGCAGGATAACACAGCGTTATTTATGTTGGCGGTGCTATCATATATGGATTAATATATATGGTTTTCATGAATTTCAGGGCTATATTGTCCTTAACAGACCTTGGGCTTTTGTTCAATGGCTTCGAGAAGCAGACATTGAAGAGGAGTATGAACGAAATCTCCATTTGATAGAATTCTAATTCCTTGAGCAGCTAGCTAGCTAGCTTTTAGTCATCTCTTACCTGCCTTTTCTTTTATACAGCTACATATTAATGGCGGAGCCAGATCATATTATTGTGAAGCCTATTCCAAACTTATCGAAAGATGGCCATGGAGCTGCATTCCCATTCTTTTACATTGAGCCCGAGAAGCATGAGTCTGTTCTAAGAAAGTTCTTCCCGGAAGAAAAGGGACCAATAACAAACATTGATCCAATTGGGAATTCTCCTGTCATTCTTGGGAAGGTACCCATACTTTATAGCTATCTTGTTTAATTTGTTTCCTTGTTCCTTCCGCTTTTATTAGTTTTTCTATTTATTTATTTATATATATTTGGTTCTATGGGTCTTAGGAATCTTTGAAAAAGATAGCTCCAACATGGATGAATGTTTCATTGGCAATGAAAAAGGACCCTGAAACAGATAAAGCTTTTGGCTGGGTACTTGAGATGTAATAAATTTCAAATCTAGTGATTTTATTCAAAATATTTCATTTCCCATATGTAAAAGGGAACAGAATTAACTTGAACCTTACTTCTATCTTATGTTCTTGTATCTACAGGTATGCTTATGCTGTTTCATCTGCACTGCATAACGTGAGCAACATCTTACACAAAGAACTTATGATTCAGGTATAACTTTTATTATTATTATTATTGAGTGTATAAGTTTTTGCTTCATTTTTATTACTCAGAAGATAGAGAAAGATTGCCTGTTAGACATTAGCACTTGGCTTTGGATGATTAAATTATAACATCTCTTCTTCCTTGCTTGGATGACGAGGGAAACCTCACAACCCTTTTAGGTGTGAGTAAACCCCGTCCTGTGACTCTAGCCGGTAAAGGACCACAAGGAAGTAAACCAGCTAGGTTACCCATAGCTGACCGGCTCAAACCAAGGGGCCAAGGATTCGAACTCATGACCTTGTGGTTACAAGTGTGGATCTCTTGCCATCTTGGGTGGGGTTACCCCCATCTCTTCTTCCTTGCTGATTCCCGTGAATGTAGGGGGGTTATGATAGCCAGGAGAAGAATTGAAACGGGGGAAATTAAACTTGTTGTGGAAGGAAGGGAATGGTGTGAGGAATAATACCCTCTGGACTAGACATACTAAATGCGGGAACCAAATTCCCATTCCCATTCAATTTCTGCATATATAGTAATAAACCCTAAAACAACAAACGACTCCGATTCATCAGTTGCTTCTCGTTTGTTGTTTATAGTGTGAGTGGAAATTAAAGTTTCTTCATTGTTCTAGTTTTCATGTTTTGTTAAATGCTTTCCAGCCTCCTTGGGACACAGAAGTTGGCAACGCATACATAATCCATTACACTTATGGATGTGATTACGACAAGAAGGTATCTCTTGAACCGATGAAGATCCAATGCCCTGTGATAGAATTTAACAAGTAAACGTTTTTCAGGGTACGTTGACCTATGGAAAAATTGGAGCATGGAGATTTGACAAGAGATCATATATTAACGTCTGGCCTCCAAGAAACCTTCCACTGCCACCACCTGGTATTCCGAAAAGTGTGGTATGGTTTTAGCTTTAGACCTGATTGCATATAGAAAGAACAAATTTTGTCTAATCATAACCTGATTTATGGGTTCAAGTTAGTTAAGTTTTACAATCAAATACGAACGAATTCTGGCAGGTTACGCTGGTGAAGATGGTTAATGAAGCCACTGCTAACATTCCTAACTGGGGTTCATAGGATCATACATATATTACTCTTCACAATCATGTCTTCAGAAGATGAAGGTATAGGCACTGTAAATTTTTACTGAATGGTTGCACACACACACACACACTCATTGAATCTCTCTCTCTCAGTAGAAATTTCTGCTCAATTAATCATCCTTTCTCTACTTCTTCATGTAATAATGGTGTATTTCTTTAGATCCAGAAGGTAATAAAAACTGCAGTATTCTTTACTTCATATGACCTCCTAAATCCTAATATGCATATGTGATGTGGCTGCCAAGTCAAGTTGTGCCAGTGTCTTGCAGACCCCCTAATTTGTTAGGGTGTGTTCGGAATCGGAATCGGAATAGGTATCAAATACTTGGTAATGGTAATGGGTTTTGGTGAAAGTATTTTGCTTGTTTTATTAAAAAAGCTAGGTTGAATCGAATCAAAATTAAACCGAATCGTAACCCTCTATTTAGAGCCATGGCTCATTCCTACCAACCGTTATACCCATGGACTTGGGTCCCGAGTTTAAAATACACAAGTTATATATCGAATATTTACAATTTACATACTGAATGTTCACAATGTAAATTGTGAACATATAGTATGTAAATTGTGAACATTTAGTATGTAAAATTTTGAACATACAATATGTAAATTCTGTATATTCAATATGTAAATTGTGTATTTTTCAATTTGGATTCACCTTGCAAGGTAAACTCAGGTCCACCGAATAATTTGCCCATTCCTACCCCTACTCTAACTTAACAAACCAAGGCTAAAATGTATTCCTCAGCATGTTTGAAAGTGAAATAGTAAAGCAATTAATTGGGAATTAACATTGACATTCATTGAATAGGGAATTTTAGTAATCTAGAACACATTGGAAAAACACTTTATTTTAAAATATTGAGTTGATACATCCAACGGTCCTCTATGTTTTAAAAAATAACTATTCGTGGTCTTTTTAGGATATCTCGTGGTCATTTTAAACTCGAGATTTTTTATTTATTTATTTATTTATTTATTTCTTGTTTAAGAACTAAGACCATGAGTGACTATTTTTTAAAACATGAAGGACCATTGAAGGTCATTTAAAACTCGAATGACCACTCGAAGGACCATTGAAGGTATTAACTCTAAAATATATATGGTTAAATGTAGTAGGTGGATTTTTTAAATGAATCACAAAGTGTTGATGGATGGACTTGTACAAGTTCCATCTAGTAGAGCCATGGAAACTATTTTATTTGCTCTATCTGTCATGTGATCTCCATCCCAATCAATATAACGCCATGGTTCAGGACAACTCTTTACTCGTATGTTGCCACATCCCACATCTTTATTCAGATTATACTTCCCACCTACACCACAACAAACTGCAAGGCTTGATGTGAATCCTGCACATACATTAAAGTAGTTTTTTCGATCAACTTTTTGAGAAAATTATTTTGCATGTAATCAATTAGCTATAAGGTAACAATTAATTTACCAAACGCTCTTCTACAATCAGTTAATGCTATCAACCAGTTAAACCCACTAACCCAATCAGCTAACAACTATTTACCAAACACCCAGCTATAACTTATAAGGTAACAACTAAGTTACCAAACACTTCTCTACAATCAGCTAATGCTATCAACTAGTCAAACCCACTAACCCAATCAGCTAACAACTATTTACCAAACACCCCGAAAGTTTATTATATTGTAAAATTTAACAAAATATAAGTTTAATTACCATATTTTCGAGGATGACGATAAAGCTCGATACTGGCATTGTAAATGTCAGCATAGATTATGACAACATGAGGGTTATGATGTTGAATGGTGTTGAGTTGTTGTTGAAGATGTTGATTGTGGTACTCACACAATTCATTCATCCAAATAAGACAACCAGTATCAGGCTCATAATCTTCCTTCTTCTCACTTTCAAATTGTGTGAGGACACTGCCTAGACAACCATCTGGTGATATGCCAGGCACCATGATTGTTGTTGCGCCAAATTCAATCAAATCCTGCATACATTATATTTGTTTCTTATTAGTTATTACACTATAATTTATCATTATTATATTTATTTTTAAAGTATAATTGTGATTGTGTAAATTAAACGCATGCATATAATAATATATGGCCTTACATTGATAGCTGTGGTAATGACATCAATAACAACAGGGACATATGATCTTATCTCTTCTATATCTTTTCCATAGCCTAGTGCACGGCGATAGTCGTTGCTCCCGAAAGGTCCCAACACAAATAGTGAGGTTTTGAGCTTTTCCTTACATTCTACAACACAATTAAGAATAAAAGAAATTTGTTAAAACTATTTTATACATAAATTTGTCAATGTCATATTATTAACTACTTACAACACTTTATCTTCGACCGATAATATAATATTATATCAAACAGAATTATTTCTTCATTGTAAAGTTGAATAGAAAATTAAAACTTGATCGGGTGTTTGGTAAGATGGAATTGTAATTCCATTCATACCAAACTTCATGGAATTACAATTCCAAAGTTTGGTTGGAGATTCCCTCTAACCATGGAATTGCAATTCCTAGGGTCCCCATAGGAATTGTAATTTCACACTTTGTGGAATTGTAATTTCTTGGTAAATGACTATTTTACATTTCTTTTTGTTATTATATTATATTACTATACAAGAGCATTTTAATCCTTATTTGCTTTTTTTTTTTTTTTTTTTTTTTTTTTTTTTTTTTTTTTTTTCTTTTCAATTCTCAATCATTATATTAATGTCTACCAAACAAAGTAATTTAAAAAATTTATTTTAACATTTATCCACCGAATTAAAATTCTTTTCATCCTTAATTCTTTCTCCTAACCAAACACCCGGGGAAGAAATAATAATAATAATAACCTGATGGTGTGGCACAGAAAATTGGCAACAGTTGATTGAGCCATCTCATCTGAACTCTGAGGGAGCAATTTGTATCCACATTAACTATTCCTCTTTCTTCATGGAACGCCGAGTCAACTGCCGCAGCTCCGGCGACAGCGAAATTCACACCTCCGTCAATATTTGACCCGCTTCCGCCGCCATTCATCATAACACTAGCTGATGGAGGCATAAATGGCGTCCATAGTACTCCGCTGAAATATCATCACAATTTAACATGTAACTTTTCACTCTTTTTTTGTTGAAGGTCAAAATTTTGACATTCTAACCTAAAGTCAAAAGTTGCTACCACTTGACCAAAAAGTTTGGACTAATTTAACATGTAATTTAAAACCCTCAAAACCAAAACTTAATAATAAAGTTATTTGCATTAGTAGTTTTTCACAATTTTTAAGGAAAAACATTCCTTAGTTGGAAGTGAGAGAGGGATGAGAGAAAAGATCTTGGGTCTTCTTGCAAGAGGAAGTTTTTTTTTGTGAACCCGTCAGGGGAGAGAAAAGGAAAAAAAAAAAGTCATTTGTGTGTGTAGTGCACGTGCTTGACGGCTCGTCAAGACTTACTTTATTTTGTTTTTATTTTCTTTTGGGATGGCCGTTTTTTTTTTTTTTTTTTTTTTTTTTTAAATATTTTATTTTCTTTCTTCACTCTCCTTCCTATCTCTCTTAGTTGGCACCTCAAAAACCTCACTATTGAGGATGTCCTAAAATCAATTTCCAGCATATAGATCAGAGTGCAATATATAAAGTTATCCGGTTATTTTTGTTTAAAACTTAGCTTATGTATAATATCTTTTAACGAAAATATAATATTTTCATATAAGTTTATAACTAAGACATTTTCACTGATTCGATCTTGTGACCATCCCATTTAAAATGGTAATAGATGTGCTATCACATTACATAGTAGTTCGCAATTGGTATTAGTGCATAAAATTTATATATTTTAAAACTACAAAAAAAAAAATACTACTATTAGACACATAATATAAAATTTAAAAATTATATGAAATGTTAAAGAAAATAAGTGAGAAAGAAAGTTGGTTTGAATATAAATAATAAACAACATCGGTAAAATGAGAGTATTGCATTTTCACTATAAACTAATAACATTGTATATTTGACATTATTAGGTCATGTAAGATGATTTTATATGAATTTTTGTAATAATAAATACCTATAAAATCTATGATGAGACGACCATCGGAGCAGCGACCGGTGGGATGGTGAAAAAAAGTTTCTCCATAAGGTGGATTGCCCATGTGAGAGTGGTTAGGGTAGAGAATAACCCTATTTCCAACATCTATAAGAGTCCCCAAATGCAAAGATGGATGTGTAGGGGCAAGCGGCTATGGCTATGGGTTTTGGAATTATAAATAGAAGGAATAAGGTGGAAATAATTGGTGTGAATTTGAACGCAAGGGATGGGCAAGCCAATGCCATTGGGATATGTCATGTGTGGCAACACCAAACATGGAGACTCTTTATATAGGAATTATCTTTTTCTTTTTTGGAATTTTTTTAGAAGAAATTTCAATTTTGGTTCTATGACTATAGGGGTTTTATTAATTTCAGTCCGTGATTTTTAAAAGTGTCAATTTAGTACTTTCATTATGCAATTTTTATCAATTTTGGTTACTCTGACTAAATTGCAGCCAAATTTCGTCTTAAAATTTTAATAGTTAAATAATAAGAATATTTTGATCCTTTCACGTCTCTTTTCTTCTTTTCCGCTGAGTCCATCCTTTTCTCTCCCGTTTCCCCGCATTGGTTCCATTGCACACTCGTCAAACCACCGTTACTGCAACTGCAAACTTTAAACCAACCCCCTTATTCCCTAATCAAACCTTCCCGCATAAATTTTCGCACTCTCTACTTTCCTCAAACATTCATTTCTCGTTGCCAATCGATCCCTTTTCGTAGAATCTCAATCTCTGCTCCCCCGAGTTGAGTAAGATGGAGGTGGAGCTGCCGCCGAATTCGGCGATGACGTTCGATGAAGTTTCAATGGAGCGAAGCAAGAGTTTCGTCAAAGCCTTACATGTCAACTTTCTTTCTTTGAGATCAGATCTGGTTATGCTTGCATATTTTGGTAGTTAACACTTGAATTTCCCATTAAAGTTGAAGTAATCATGATTACTCCTCATTACTTTCTTTGAGATCATTGCACTCGCCGAAAACGGGAGAGAAAGGGATGGACTCGCCGGAGAAAAAGAAAAGGGACGTGAAATGATCAAAATATCCTCATTATTTTAATTATTAAAATTTTTAGGCGAAATTTGGCCGTAGTGACCAAAATTGACAAAAATTGCATAGTTAAGATACTAAATTGACACTTTTGAAAGTCATGGACTGAAATTAACAAGACTCCTATAGTCATAGGACCAAAATTGAAATTTCTTCTAAAATTTTATTGAAATTAAAAAAATATTGTTTTTTTTAAAAAAAAAATAAAAATCTTGGATAGTGTATTTAAAATAAAAAGTTATTATGTATGTTTTTTTTTTTTAAAGAAATTTATTCAATAATACATATGGTATATCAATTTTGAGCCAAACACAATTTAGCAATGTGGTTGGCTCCCATCTAAATGTCTACACCCCATCAATCAAATAATTTGAACCATCCTCTCTAAAATAAACAAAACAGTTAATGTTACGTGACGCGTTACGTCAATGAGACTAACACTAATTGATGCATTGCATCGGGTCGGTGTCAAGTGGACAGTAGGGAGGCTCCCTTAGTTTAAAAAGAAAAATTTATTGACGTAGGTCGGATCAGTCTAATTAATGCAATTTGGCTAGACTATATTTTGAATCTTATGAAGTGTTTCTAGGTCCAAAAGGGCAAATTATATCGTGCACCAGGGTGCACAATGCATTGTGCGCCTTGAGAGTTTATATGTATTATGTTAAGAGTTTATGTGTATTATGCTAAGAGTTCATATGTATTATGCATGTTAAGAGTTTATCTGTATTATGTTAAGAGTTTATGTGTATTTTACTATACAATTATGTACATATATACGAAACAAATGATTTATTATGTGCACTGGTGCATGATATAACAATTGGTCCAAGAGAAGATAAATTGAGACAACATCAAACTGTACACTTTTGTGTTCAAAGAGTCTAACCTAAATCTATTGAATTTCTTATTTTGAACGGTCAACTATAAACAACTTAAACTGATATCTTGCCGTATCACAAAATAAGCTTTAATTTACTCAAAAGTCACATATGCATATTATTACTTTTGAAGGGAATAATTAGTTGATGCCAAATTTATTACAGTGTCGGGCTAATATCAGCTTACTGACAACCACCTATATATGAATCACCATGCACCATGGTTGCATCCAGCAACCCCCGGTCAGTTTGCAACCACCACAATTTCGTTGCGCGTGTCAGATCTCTGTGATTTTAGCAAACTTTGGACAATAGTTACTGCGACACTAACAATATTTTCATTGCTTTTAATTAAATTGAATGAAATTATTTATTATAATTTAATTTTTATAATCTAATTTGTTATATTTTTTGAAGGGATCTAATTTGTTATTGATAAATAAGATTTATAAAAGTATAATGATATTGGTTCTACTCGATGTACCTATATATGATGTATGTATGGTTGTATTGAATGTGACTACTATCATAAAAATTTGCAAACAAATTCTACATTTAAAACAACATAAAATAAATTTACTCAACTACCAAATATGTGATATAAAATGGTATTGAGAAACTAGGACCATGTTTGGTAAAATAGTTAGCCTATAGTCACTTCGCCGGCCACCCACTGGCTTTTCCCCACCTCGGAATGTTGGCTTCCCCGTTTGATGTTTCCCCGACCTTCGTGGTGTCCCAACGGACTCCGTTTATCGTGCCTGAGTCTAGTTTTATATTTCGAGTACCGTTCGTAAGATAAAAAGAGTCTTGTGTATTATTGCATGCTAGTTGAATTGGTACCCCGTTGACCTAGGTGAAAGAAGTATGAACCCCTTAGGATTATTCCTAGTACGTGGATGACCACGCATAGGTTTCATTATACGTTTTCTCCCCTTTCCCAATATGTTTATGTGGGTTGCATG